GCGGGGCGAGGAACATCAGGGAGTCCCTCGTCATGCCTGGAAGGACCCTTGTCCTGGGTCGGGAATGCCATTTCCTCTCATCTCTTGGTGCTGACAGCTCTCTGAGGGCAGGCAGCCCTTCTGGCCACCACCTTGCCCCGGAGAGCCCCCAGCCAGCAGCAGGCCCCTCTGCCTGCACTCCCCAGCCTCGCCCCTCGCTGCCTCTGTGAGGCCCTCGTGCCACTGCCCTGGCCCATGCCTCTCAGTGGCCAAAGCAGCTGCTTTTCTCACTGTGTCGCCCTGTGGCAGCAGGCTAGAGCGGGACGGGGTGAGGACCATCTTCTTCTCATGGGCAGAGGAGGTGGGCTCGGAACTGACACTCTCCCTGATCTCCAGGCCTGTTCCTCTCCCAGGGAAGAAAACCAAATCCTCATCAAGGAACAAGCACTCTCGCCTCCCCTCGGACGTCCCGAGCTCGGCTTGGGAGTACCGGGAAGGTTCTAGCCTCTGAGTTGCTCCCACGGGGGTCTGTGGGCCCTCTGCCCCATGGCGCCTGCTCACAGCCCGTCCGCTACGCAACTCGGGAGGCCCCCAGCATCTCTCCCCAGGGCACTCCTCGCCTCTCGCCCAGATTCCTGCCCATGCAGAGGCCTGTGCACTCGGGGCCCGGCCCCTCTGCTAAGTACTCTGCACTGCCCTTGACCCCCCAGCGGTGGGACCGGGCACCCCCTGAAGAGGGCCTCACAGCTTTACACTAGAACAAGTCTGCCTTTCACCCCTCTGGCCTCTGGGGTTGGACCCCAGGTGACAGTTGACATTGCTGGGAGGAGACAGGCAGATTCCTGAAAACCAGAAACCGACAAGCATTTTAGGAAGAGGTTTCCTCTGGTCCCTGTCTCTCAAAGGACACAGAATGAGAAGGATTTACTATCTTAGGCCATGGATTTCTGATACCTCCCACTCAAGGGACCAAAAGGGAACCCCAGTGTAAACACCACAGGAGGCGAGTTCAGTGTGTGTGGTGTTTCCGGTCACGGGACACCCGGCACCAAGCCCATGGGCGGGCAGCCTGGGCGCCATGCCCTGCTCACCCAGCCTCTGCAGACATGCCCATGGGCTCCTCAGGAGACCAGGCTGGGTGGGAGGTGCTGAGACCACAGGCCACACAGCAGTCAGTATCGGGCCCCAGTTTCCAGAATATCAGTCTATCTTCACTTTCCACCTTGGTTTTGAGAAACAGCAGAGCTTTCGTATCAAGTTTTTGTTTGTTGTTTTTTGTTTGGGGCATGTTAACATACTTTGTAAGGTTTTAAAACTTTTGGTTGTACCCACCCTATTTCAGGTTATTTTTGTTGGCATCAGATGTGTATAGGACATGTGTATGGTTCTTTTTAGCCCTTTCTGGTTTTTTTAGAGGAAACTCGGAAGATAAGCTCTTTGATATGTATGTTTTTTTCTTTAGCAACTTGTTTTCACTGGACTCAAGGGGAAAAGCGATCTCTTTCTTGCGTTGGTTGTGTGTGTGTGTCGCTAATAAAAGACACTTTGTTCAACAATAACAAAAAAAAATGACCGGGCTTGGTGGCTCAGCATGTAATCCCGCGCTTTGGGAGGCTGAGGTGAGTGAATTGCCTGAGCCCGCGGGTTCAAGACTCGCCTGGGTGACTTGGTAAGACCTTATCTCTACAATAAATCAAAAATTAGCCGGGCGTGGTAGCACGCGCCTGTAGTTCCAGCTACTCGGAAGGCTGAGGCGGAAGGATCGCCGGAGCCCAGCAGGTCGAGGCTGCGGTGGCCGGGAGCGGCCACTGCACTCCTGTCTGGGCGACAGAGTGAGACTCCAACTCAAAAAAAAAAAGTCATTGTTTATCTTTTTTTTGCTCTTTCTCCAGTTTGGACGTCATAGACTAAACCCAGAAAATAGAACATTGGGAAGTCTGCGGAATGTTCTCTATCTTCTTCACCAACGAGTGAGGTGAGCTGTGTAAATGCTTCACATTCTGTCCTCTCCTTCAACAGTCTTGTCTGCCAAGGAACGGTTGGATTTGCTTCTCTTACATTGCTTGCCTTGGCAGTACCAGCCTCAAAGCCTCTCTCTTACATGCTGTGCTCAGAGATTTCCCATTTTAGGAGCTTGGTATAATAGGACAGCATTTTGGGAAGTTCAGTTCCTTATTCTTTTCCGTTACAAATACACAGAACCCTTCAGAAGGGAACTCGCCTGTAATCGAACCTGCCTGAGCGTCTTTCATCCGTGTCATATGCTGTGACCTCCCTTAAAAATATAACATCTGTTCGCAACCCGCCCGGGCAACTGGGCGAGACCTCCTCTCTACAGTCAATCAAAAAATCAGCCGGGCGTGGTAGCGCGCGCCTGTAGTTCCGGCTACTCGGAAGGCTGAGGCGGAAGGACCGCCGGAGCCCGGCAGGTCGAGGCTGTGGTGACCGGGAGCGGCCACTGCACTCCAGTCTGGGCGACAGAGTGAGACTCCGACTCAAAAAAAAATATATATATATATATATATATATATATATATATATATATATAAAACATCTGCTTATAGAGTAATAGTAGTGGGGAAAGGAAGGGGGAGTGGAAAGAGTAATGATGATGATGATGATGGTAAGAATAGCTAACATTTTCAAGGGTTTGCTATGTGACAGACACTAATTCAGATGCTGTACCTGAGTAATCACTTAATCCTAATAATAGTTCTGTGAGGCAGGAACCATTGTCATTTTTCTGTTTCATTTAAAGAAACTGACACTTAGGGAAATCAGATAATTCAGGGACCTCCTTTGAAGCAAAAGCTGCTATAACTTTATTATTGTTCCTAGATATGATATTTTGAAAATAAACTTATTATAAAAATAAAATATGAGGCCAGGCATGGTGGCTTATGCCTGTAATCCCAACACTTTGGGAGGCCAAGGCAGGAGGATTGCTTGTGCTCAGGAGTTCGAGACTAGCCTAGGCAACATAGCGAACCCTCATCTCTGCTGAAAATAAAAAATTAACCAGGCACAGTGGTGTATGCCTGTAGTCCCAGCTATTTGGGAGGCTGAGGCAGAAGGATCCCCTAGGCCTAGAAAGTCAAGGCTACAGTGAGCCATGATCATACCACCGCAATTTATCTTGGGTGACAGAATGAGACCTCGCCTCAAAAAAAAAAAAAAA